GACATAGTGAGACTCTGTCTCAAAAAAAACAAAAAAATAGATTCAGGCCATAAAAACTTGCTCTATGTTCTGAAATACCCTTCTAACACCAAAATTTTAACGCTGCTCTGTGCCACTATTTCTGTGAAAAATGTATTCTTCATTCCAACTCTGAATTGTAGGGATGCATGTCTCTCCTGTGATTGCTACTCTCAACTGTCAGGTCTTGGCAGTTATTTAACCTTTCCAGCTATAAAACAGTACTGCCATTAAAAATGGAATAACATCAGGGACATAAACAGGGTTATACAATTAATTACTTCTCTGCATGAGTACAAAGCTTCCAACTTCTTTGGCTGCTGAGACCATATTTAAATAAGACAGGGAATCTCTGTCCCAGTGGTAAAAAAGGGATGCTAGATTTAGTGTGTCAGGACCCATGGCTAATTCAGGGTCTGTCATCTATGAGGAGTAGACCATGGCAAGTCACTTTATTCACTGGGCACTTAGGTTTCTCATCTTTGAAAGAAGGAGGTTGGATCAAAAGGCTCTTAAACTCCTCCAACCAAGAACCCTATGGTTCTGTAAAACCTTTCCTGTATACAGATGGTACCACTCTATTTTTGCATAATACACTACTATGAAAACATTTGGCAGAAATTAAAAGTTGGGGGACAAGGGTTGTAGCACCCATCGTTCAGTCATTTAGCATCTACTGAGCACTTCAATGCACCAGACGTGGTGCTAGACCCTGAGAATATAAAATGGTGATACTATACTAGTTCTTTCTTCAATACTATACTAGTTTGCAGTCAAATTGAGTAATCAGTACAAATAAATAATTACAGTGCAACAGGGTGAAGGTATGGGCTGTGTTATTTTTAAGGAGCTGTAACAATAAATGCTGAAGTAGACACCTCGTCCTCAATATGCTGCTGAAGGCCCATTTTGTGGAATTCAGAATAACTCCAAGGGACTTTCCCAATTTGCCCGGAGCTATCATATTTTCAAGATGAGAACATTTCTGGGCTATCCTTCTGTGGCTATCTCTACTTTTGCCTCAGAGAGACTCGGGCAAGTACACACTTCTGGGTTTTATAACCTACATGAAGATAAGAAGTGAATTGCCTATAGCACAGGAGAAGGGGGATAGGTAATTGTGCAGAAAAGATTCTTCTGCCAGTTAGCATAGATATTCATATTTAATTTCAGTCCCATTATCTTTCTAAATTTCCTCCTCTCAGTGTTTTTCACTAGCTCTTTACCCTTTTCTGCAAAATGCTATGCTCGGCTTTTCCAAATCTTTCTCAACTGGGTCAGCAACTCTAAATCCCTTCTGCCTCTGTGCTCGTGCCATATGCCCTCATTCATCTGAGACTTCCAAACCAGGGCATTAGCGGGCTGGAGAAGAAATGAAAGAGCAAATGCCAACCTCTGCCACCTAGCAATTTCAAAGGCCACCAAATCCCCATCTGCTTACCAGGCTTTCAGTAGTAAGCTCCGGCAAATCCTGGATGGTACAGCAAGGGTAATCAAGAACCGAGATGCTGCAAGACGCAGAGAGAAGGACAGGCTTTAGGTAAATGGCAACAGCAGGAAAATGGCTGTATCTGAAAAGGGCAGGAGTAATTTCTCTCCAGTAGGCCCCATCCATGTCCCAAATTGCTTAGTGACCTCGGTTGAAATTGAGGACTAAACTGCAGTTCCCGTCTCCTCTCCTCACAGTCATGAGAGGAACCCATCCGGCAGATGCTAAAGAGAGCAGAAAAAGCCTCTTTTCCTAGCTCTCTTTGCTTCATTAAAAGGATACATAAACATGAATGTGTTTCTGCATTTAATTGTACATGTGAATATGAGTGCTCCCAGAGATGCTGCCTAAACCCATTCTACTTAATAACCATCTGAGCATGTGGGGATATAACAAAGACCTCTCTTACATCACCAGGTCCTTCTGAAAGCCAGAGCTCTGAGGAATGATCATAGAAGCCACTTTTGAAGGAAGCCTGAGATAGAGGCAGTTTCCTGCAGCAAAACCAACCTGGTAGCTTAAGAATGGTATAGCATCTGCCCCCAAAGCCAACAGTGGAGGACTACAAGGGAGCTGCAGGCTCTGCGGAAAGCCCAGGTAAGTAGGCATGACTGGGATGTGGAGTGGATCAGGCACTGAATGATGACAGGGACACAGTCACGCAACAAATGACACATCTTTCTTTTCTCTTCTCCGTCTTCATGAATACAGTACAGAACTTGGACCAGTGACTCTCCAGTGTCCTTCTGGTCCTGACATTCCATGAGGTTTTAAACACCAGTCTACCTGAACTGGTGCAGTTGGAAATTTACAAAGGACGTTGGCAAAGCAGGGGCTATGAAGACCAACATAGGGTTCCGCGGACCTATCACTACATTTTGAAAGTCAAAACTTCTATACAAGTAAAAAGGCAATGATTTATTTGGCTACAAGTGTTTACCTTTGTCCAAGAAATGCAGACAAAGATAATCTAGAGGACCAGAGTGGGAGAG